CAGCGGGTGCAGCAGCTTCAGCCACCACAGGGATGGCTGCCACAGAAGCAGAGGGGTCGGCCAGGAAGGCCTTCACCTGCAAAAGAGGAGGGAGAAGTAAACTCGAAGGCAACAAATATTTTGAAGGACTGAACTTTACAATCATAAAGGCAACGCTTGCAGCTTGCCAGAAGCCCAACAGATGGATTTATCACTGCCATACATCAAGAATCTGAGCCATTTCAGCTACATTCAAGTGTAACAGCCCCAGGAAGGAAGGAACACCAGGTAATTCAGCTCTCTCTTGCCACTTGTACACAACACATGAAAGCAAACGTCCCTTTTCAGGACAGGTCCCTCACACACAGGCAGGTCCAAGTCCTTTCAAACCAGGTTTCTATGAAAGTGCCCGGCTGCATTTTTAACACCCCTCTGAGCAGATCACTCATCTGTTACCTTTTCAGCCAGCGGGAAGGTGTAGTCGGTCTCCACAGCCACGGCCAGGACCCGCTTGTACCCGTTGATGATGGAGTGGGGCACAGAAGCAATGGTCGGGTACCCAATTTGCAGACAGACACTGGCAACGTTACGAACACCCTGTGAGGAGAGAGACTCTTGTTTCCGTGCTCTGAGAAACCACGGCAGACTAGAAACCACGGCAGGTGACGGCACACTTCTGCGCTGCCAGCATAATGAGGGCCAGTGTCCAATGCACACAAGTAACACAGCTCCAGTGAAATTAAGGGCATCGAGATTTAAATAGCCTCAAACGCTTTCAGAAGTAGCTTCAGATGGAAGGGCCCACAGAAGGCACTTCCCAACAGGCTGCTTCTGCAGGGCACGTGGAACAGCTCCCAGCTCTGCAGGACCTTGCAGAAAATCCCAGGGATGATTCTTCATTTTGGGACAGTGCTGGCCGCCACAGCAGTGAGGCAGAACATAACTGATATGGCTTGCAGCACTCACCTCCAGGAAGCGCTTGTGCAGGGTCTCCTCGGTGATGTCCAGCACTTCAGGATTGTAAACGCTGCCATTGTCAAAGACCTGCTGGATCACCAACCCGAAAGAGA